CAGGAATTGGCAAAGTTTTGTAATAGCCGCCAAGATGACTGGGTTGTGTTACACCCCCCCCCCGCTATTAATGGCCTGTAGAACAGCAGAGCATGAAGCCACTGGTAACACTCCAGCAAAGCTGATGTTTGGTCGGGAACTTCGTTTGCCAGTGGACCCGATAACAGGACGCCCACCTTACGAAGAGTTGCCTGGAAATGTGCCAGAGTTCGTGAAAGTGTTATCTGAAAGGATGGATGATATTCACCATCAAGTGCGTTCAAACTTGAAATCATCTGCTGATTCCATGAAGCTATGTTATGATAAGTGATCTACTGAAGTCAGCTTTGTACCAGGAGACAAGGTGTGGTTGTATTATCCCAGGAAGGCCAAAGGGAACTTTCCTAAGTTGTTTTCTCCATGGGAATGCCCAAATGACATAGTGGATCGTCTTTCAGACGTGACTTTCCGAATAAAATGTGGTCGGCGAGGTAAGCCGAAGGTGTCGCATGCCAACAGGCTTTGGAGTTATCATGGTGCAGATCATTTCAGTTGGAATGAAGTGAACAATGGAACAAATAATGCTGCTGAAGACATGTCACCTGAAAAAGCCACTGTTGAAGAAAAAACTCTTCCTGGTTTTGAAAAGGAAAACAGTGAAGCCGTTAATGAAGTTACTACCACTGATGTGACTGCTACCGATAATGGGACATTTCCTGATGGAGCAGACGAACCCCACGTGAAGCAGAAGCCAATGAGACAGAGACCAGTACAGAAGAAGATACGTCCTGTAAAATTAGGAGACTTTGTTGTATTTTAATTTTGTGTTTGTAAATTATGTATATTTAATTAAGTTATTGTTAATTATCTATTCGTTAAATGTAAGTGGCTATTGTTCGGGACGAACAATACTAAGGAAGGGGCAGTGTTACAACAGCAGAAGTCATGCGACGCTGGGAGCATGCACGCTGGAGTATCTCGAATGATCATGAAGACCCGAGTGCATTCGAGACACCCTATTTTTAGTATATAAGCCTGACGAGAAAAACCAGCGGGATTGAAGATAAGCAGATAGATAAATGAGTCAAGCGAACAGTAGGCACCGTAAGTAAAGTGTGTGAATTACTGTGATTTACAGCGTATGTTATAAAAGTTGTTAACTGTATTACATAGTTTGTATCGAGAAAGAATAAACTAGTTTTAATCAGGAAGAATACGTGAAATATTGAGAAAGGAAGATTTAAAAGTTTAAATGTTGTAGCCAATAGTTCGAAGTTTTATGCTAAGTATATTGCTATCGTTTTGTGGGGAAATGTAAAGAGAAGTCTATTTGGTGAAGTCGGAAATAAATCTGTATATTTAGAGCAAGGTAGTTATGTGTGGTCTTTTTTACGTTTACTTTCAGTCTGGTTTGACAATTGATATTAGAATGTGTGTGGCGTTATGAATAAGCTTTCGATAAAGTTAAATTATTTTGTTTTCCAATGGAATTTTTCTTTCTTCTGGAATAAGTTAATGGAAAATGTGTTGTTTGTTGTGAAGCGCAAAGCTAAACAATAAGCTTTGTGTGCTGTGCTCACCAGGAATATCGAATTTTCAGCGTTGTGAACCCTCAGACTTACCGATGATCCACTGGGGGCAATGGGAAATATGAATACTGATTTTTTTAAAGTTTATTAGTGAAAACAGTTTTTGTTTGTTGTGATGTCATATAATTTATCATATAAAGTGTGATAGAAACAATAATCTTAAATAAATTCAACGATAGATAGGCGTTTAATAAAAGACGTTGCATTTATGTTCATAAGGGTTTAACATATTTTCTTTAAATTAAATATTTATAATTTCCGAAAAATATGTAAGGTATTAATTGTTTATAATGAAATATTCTGAAGAAATAACACTAGAGGGTTATTAACTGAGTATGCGTATAAGATTTTTTATAAGAAAATGGCGTCTGGCGGGAGAAGATTTAAGAAGAAATAATTTAAATATAGAAAACATAAATTAAAATAAAACGCTTTTAATGTTTGAATGCTTTAAATGATTTTTATTTAATATCATTAGTTAGTGAATCGAGAAGAAAATACGTAAGTATTTAATAAATAATTGGCTAAGGTTTGAGTATATATCGTGAGTTTTTAATAATACTATTACAATTACTATTACTTATATAAATATAATTTATGCTATTATTATCATTCAATAACATAAATCTTAATCAGGATGATTGTTGTCAGTATATTTTTTTATAACGGTTGCATACCTTGTAAGTTTTAATATAGTACTTTTTAGGTTTCCAAAAAAGTTTTATATTCGGACATAATCTTTCTACTTATCCTGAGAGTGAGATTCTGTAGGGAGGTTAGTAAAAGTAGGGCTTTACAATAATTAGGCCTAACTCAGTAGTTCTCTGTGTTGAAATATTTGCTTTGGCGTAGGGCTAATAAAAGGAATCAGACTTAAGTTTAGGATTGACTGTGTGAAACTTTTAACTATTTTTTTCTTCTGATGACTTTTTTTTAATACAGTTTAAAATACTAAATTATATTTTTTTATTGCTGCTATGCATTGGGTATTATTATTATTATTAGTAGTATTACTATGGCAATGTATATTCAACAGAAAAAAAGGTTACATGAAACTTTTAAATTGAATTGTAAAATAATTCTTAAGTGCATTAAAAACTGAGTTTATAAAATGAAATATTGAACTAAGAAGGATTACAAGTAGGTTTTTTGGGAAGCAAGAGACACTGGATGTTAAGTTTATGCTAAAGTTGGACAAACTCAAAGAAAAAATTAGCTGGAAAATAAAGTTTATAAGTAAGTTTTGTGGTTTGTTACCTTGAGCAGAAAATGGACTTACTGATTTCTTTCCTTATAAATGCAAATGTGGGATGTTTATTTCTCATATTCATAGAATAACACACAGGTTCCTAAATAATAGATGATACAGGACAGGAGTGACACCAAGATTTTCATCATTAGATGTAACCCATGTATCTCACAACAGAATAAATTTTGATTGTGGAAAGATATTTCTCATTTAAAATTGCATGAGATGTTTGTTTAGTTTTCTTAAGATTAAAGTTTTAACAAATTTGATAGTTTTGCTGTTTCATATTGTTAAGCCTAATTTGTCAGCTTCAAATATTTCAATATTTTTCTGAGAAATAATTGTTTTTTTTTAAATTTTTGCTGCTACCACTAGACTCATTTCAGCTATTTTTATTTTTAAAAATAACTAGTAAAATCTTAAAATACTGTAATTTGGCCACAGTTGATTAACATAAGTAATTAGCTTTGTCCATTTTATTTGGATGTTTTATTATTTGTGTTAATTTCTTCATGTGACATTAACCATATGTAAACATGCAGAAGTAGCTTTTCCCAAAGTAGTTTTCTTTTTTTTTTTAATATAATGCAAAATGTACATATGTAGTATTATTTTTAATCAAACTTTATATTTAAGTCAATATGTATTATTATGTTCAACTTGTATATTTGTTTACATTACAGTTGAAAAACGGTGGGTTGATATATTTAGGAACATTTAATGATGGCAGAGGTAAGTTTAATATTATTTTAACTTTCACATTTTAGATACATTAAATGTTACAATTCATTTTTCATATAAAAAAAAAGTATAAATTATATTATATACATCTGGAAATTTTTAATATTGTTTTTCCAAGATTTTTTTATGAAGTACTGAAAATTGTTTTTTAAGAATAGATCTGTATGTCTGAAAGTGGGTTAATGCTTTTTTATATCAGAATTAAACACTATTTATTTAATTTTTCTTTCATTTTTACAAACTGGAAGGGTTTCTGAATATAGTGGAGTAGTGCATTAATTAGGGGATCAAAATTTTAAATGTAAATAAATTAGTTTATGATAGGGATAAACTTATAATATATAGACAGTATTACAAAAGATATCAGTTTCATTTGAGTGATAATGCATGCCTCCCTTAGTGATATTTTTTTTATTTAAATCATTTTATAAAATTATTTCCTAAAATGTTAATAATTATTACTATGAGTAATGTATCCAAAAGAAAAAAACATTAAAAACATGCTTATTACCTGAAGAAAATATGCCCAAGATTTATGTAATAATTTTTTCTCTCATGATTTTAACTAAACATCACGGTAATATTTGTGAAATTTCTCTTTAGAGCCTTATATTTCTTTATTTACTAATATACCCCATTGTATTTACTAAATGATAAGTAATGCAGTCACACACATATGTAGTTTAAACACATATTGGTATTAACTAAACATTTGTAGATGTCTTTTTCTCAACTTCTACATTGCTGTAAAAGATAATGTACCAAATTTTACTTTTAGCCATAAAATATATTGAAAAGTGCTTATGTGTGGATAATTAAAAGGATATTTAAAAGTTTTATAACCAAACGATGAATTGATGATGTCCAAATTTAAAACAAATTTTAAGTACTGTTCAAACCATCTTGAGGGTTTATGGTCTGTGACCAGTTTGCAAATACACTGGAAACTTAAGAAGCATTCTAAGTTTTTTAAAAGGTTTACTTTGTAATTTTGCATTTATTGGCACATAAAAAATACTACATTTCTATTTTTTGAAAGACATTGTTAGTTTTGGTAAATCAAATTGTATTAGAATCAGGTTGCATATGTTTTTAATTATTTCTTTTTTGTAACTAACCATATTTAATAAACATATTCATAAGCTGTTTAATTTTTGTTGGACATTTGCTTCAAGCACATAGTTTTGTGTGCCTAATGATAATTAAAAACATATTTTTAAATTTTTCTTTCTCCATATATCATAATTTGAATTATGAGTATAGTTTTGATGGACATAAAAGTGTTATGAAAGAAATGGATGTCGGTGTTCTAATTGATCAATTTCTTAAGTCATATAAATAATGTGCTGTTGCTAATATTAAGGCATATAAGATTTGAGTTTATATTTATAGGAATATTGAATACAAGTCTAAAGAGATTAGAATTTTACTGTATAGATCATTAGTTAGGCCATATTTGGCTTGATAAACATTTGAAGGATAACACATGGTTTTGAGGATTTTTTATCTTAAAGTTTAGTGGATGGTGTGACCTAGATGGACTAATAGGTTCCCCATTGTCCTTAGATTATATGTGATTTGTAAACATATGACTGTTATATATAAAGGTCTGTATTATTATAAATAACTATTCATTGTCTAAACACTAATTTTGCTCTAAGCTTTAATTTTTTTTCTGTAGGCTTTAGACTACCACAATAGGTTTGGTGTATTAGAGCCATTTGGGAAACTGTTTGATATGTTATTTGTAGGTGCTTGTAATTGAAATTCACTTCTTTGCTCACATTAGGAGTAAGAAGACTATCAGTTTTAGTCACTTATTCTTTACATGTAGCCCCCCAGTGGCACAGCGGTATGTCTACGGACTTACAATGCTAGAAACCGGGTTTCGATACCCGTGGTGGGCAGAGCACAGATAGCGCTTGTGTAGCTTTGTGCATAATTAAAAACAAACAATCTTTACATGTATGTACTTTTGTTTTGTAAGAAAGTATATAAATTCCATTTTCAAGTAATATCATATTGGGTTTTGTTAGTAGACTTGTATGTGCAAGTTATTTTGTAAATTTGAAAATAAAATTAATAGTTTATAACATTGTTATACACAAAGAACATGCATTTGAAATACATAGTATGTACCACATATCTATGGAAAGCAAACAAAACCCCATTTCTGAATAGGTATAAAACATTTTTTGCTATGAAAGAATAAAAACGTATGTGTGTATAAATACAATTTCTATTAAACATGTACCTTGCTATTTTAATGTGTTGTATTTCTTCTTTCCAGCCTTGTGCTAGTGAATCAAGTGCTGGTAAGTTTCTTTTATATTATTTGTTCCTGTAGAAGTTCAGCTGTAACATTAAATGTAAATTCAGAGTGGTTGTTTAAGGCTAAGACTATATGCAACTCTAGAATTAATCACATTATTTGACTATTTTTCTAAACTGTTGATGCATCAAATTCCGATACGATATCTTACCTCCGCTTACAAAATAGCTTTTCTCGATTAGTACTGCCCTCTGTTGGCACACATTTTCAATGCTCACCACTAGCCTTCTAACTCCTGCTTCTGCATATCCACATATAAATGACTATCCAGCAGTTCTCCACCAATAGGAGCTCGACACAACTTCTATCATAACCAGCGCTCTTTCTGCACATGCACTCGTTAATAACTTCTTGATTGGTAGTAGTAGACATGTATAGACATGCTTGTTTTTGCTCAACTTTCCCATTTATCCCAACTTTCTCCTACTGTTTCTGTGTCTCACCCCACCCTCCTGTCTATACCCTTTACTGGTCCTGGCTTCTTATTGTTTATCCATTCGCAATCGAGTTGTTACTTGATGTTTCAGAGGATTACAGTGTTGGTGACTTTTCTATTTCCATCATATGTGGACACCATTTACAATGGATCAATGGGACCTACAGGTTTTTTTAGAGGGTCTGACTCTTCACTTCTATTCCCCTTCCCTATTGACTCTTTATCCCATTGTCTTCCCCCCACCAAGGGATCTAGTTTTTTGCCAGTATCTACAGGAGACAGTTCGGGACTTACTTTGGAAAACGGCCATAGAACTTGGAGAACCTTCTCATCCGTGGTTTTATACCTGTCTGTTTGTCGTGCCCAAAAAGAAGGGAGATTGGGGACTGGTTATAGATTTATCATCCCTGAACCATCTTCTGTTTGTACCCAAATTCACGATGGAGTCTTACTTAACCCTTTGTTGGGTTTTCACTTATGGGTTGTGGATGATGAAGGTCGAAGTGTTGGATGCCTATCTTCACATTCCCATCTCCCTGGCATTTCCTCTGTTTCTCAATCAGGGGCGTGTTTATTAGTTTTGGGCTCTCCTATTTGGCCTGGCCTTGGCTTCTTCTGTCGAGTAGTTAGGTCATTCTCTTGACTGCTTTGTGCCACAGGTCTCCATTTCTACCATTAAATGGATGGCTGGCTTCTTTTGTCTTCTTCTCAGGTCAGATCTGCTGCTCGTACTCAGTTTATTCTTTGTGAGGGTGCCAGAGTAGTTAGGTCATTCTCTCGACTGCTTTGTGCCAGTGGTCTTCATTTCTAGCATTAAATGGATGACTGGCTGCTTTTGGCTTCTTCTCTGGTCAAATCTGCTGCTCGTACTCAGTTTATTCTTTGAGAGGGTGCCAGAGTGGGTTGGCTCATCAAGATGGAGAAGTCGTTTCTCACACCCACACAATATCTGATCCATCTGGGTGTGTTTTCAATTCCCTCACTAGTCAGACCCATTCTTCTCCCCTTTTTTTACAGGATATGGAACATCTCGTTCACAGTTTATTGGCCACTTCCTCTCCTACTGCACAAGAGACCCTGTCTCTTTTGAGGATGTGGGCTTCTCTTGAAGCCCTCATTCCCCTTAGTGGGTGTTACTTTACTAATGAAGCCTCATTTCAGATCCCTTAGATGCTCCTACTGTCCTGCCTCCACACCTGCACGCCAACTTTGCTTGGTGGTTGGATCAGACCAATACTACCATTGGAGTTCTTCCACCTCCTTGACCGGATTGTTATCTTTTTACAGATGCTTTCATTTCAAGTTGAGTGCATATCTCAATGTTCAAGATGTTTTGGGTTGTTGATCACTAGGCATATCGTCTGTACATATCAATGTCTTGGAGTTGCTGGTGGTTCATCTAGCTCTGTTTTAGTTTTTGTTGGATGTTCGGGGGTGTTTGGTGATGGTCCACTCCGACAATTTCACGGTAGTGTCTTATATCACCAGGCAAGGGGGTACCCGGTCACGAGGTCTTTGTTTCTGAACACTGAATCTCCTCTACTTGGCCTACAATCATCACATCATATTGTTTGTGTGTCATATTCCAGGTGCCCTGAATCTGATTGATGACTGACTATCTTGACGTGACAAGATTCTCCTGACAAAGTGGTCATTCGATTAACAGGCTTTTTGAGTTGTGTGCTCATTGGGGTATTCTTGATGTGGATACTTTTGCCACACATCTCAATGCAAAGCTTGTCCATTTTTGGTCTTCAGTTCCTCATCCTTTGGCAGAAGTTGTAGGTGCTCTCAGTCAATGCTGGAAAGGATATTACCTATATGCATATCCTCCTATTTGTCTTCTTCCCAGGGTTCTTTCATTGATTCAGACCACTCCATATTGTGTGCTCCTAGTGGCTCTGTTTTGGCCTGTACAAATGTTACTTCCCCTTCCTTTGCCATTGTCTCCCATGCTTATTCATCAACCTTCATCAGGCTTGCTTTATCCGTCCATTCTCATCCTCCGGCTTTACGCGTAGCTTTTGCACCAGACAATTTGGATTTTCCAGGCATGTTGCCTCACTGATTGCCCTTCCTCTGCATCCTACCTCCTTGGCAGTTTATCAGCATAAATGGTATACTTTCCACTGCTGGTTACTCTGCCAGGGATATTGTCCTTCACAACCTTCCCTATCACATTTGACTGCATACTTCACTTAGCTCTTTGATAGGGGACTGTCAGTTTTGTCGATTGCCTGCTATTAAGCTGCATTTTCTTGCATGTTAAAATTTACTGAGTTTGCCTCTGTCTTCCAATCTCCCAAGTTGTCTTTGTTATTTCATTCATTTTCCTTTTCCTGTTCGCCCCGCTCTGTGTCTCTACTGGATTGGAATCTCAATCATGTCCTTCATGCTTGCACTCGTCCTTCGTTTGAACCTTTGTCTTCATGTGAGAAATGTGACATTTTTTCTCTAGGCATCCCCTCTTCTGTAATTTATTTACCATCACTCTGATAAGTATGAAATTTAGCATAAATTACTCACTCTCAAATCTTCATCGCTTAGTTGAAACATAATTTTACAGCCTTCAATCTTGTTTGGTTACAGACCCATCAAATTAAAAATCAGACCCCTCTTGCCACACCCACTGTCACATTTTCTATTTCAGGATTTGTTAATAGTTCTCTCTTATGGTGTATTATTTATAACCAATAAAATGGCAAGATTTTCATCTGTTAAATGACATATTATATTATGTTGTTTTCTGAACAGAGAATTGTCAATTTCTCTTTTAGTACAAGCTTTTTTCCCCAGGGGAAACATATCGACTAACTTGTATGAATTTGTAGCAGCTCTTGTTGCATAGTTAGAAAGCCAGGATAATTGTGATAGTTATGGGACACTGTCTGCTTTTTGCATGTTATTATTCTATGTTCTTTGGTGCATTATTTAATTAAATAAAAATTATTTAATTCACTATTACTATTATTATAAAAAAAGTAGGGTTAAATGTCATCAACAGTCTACAGCAAAAAAAAAAGGTCCAGATAAGTATTTAATTTTTTTTTGTTCTTTCATGTGTATTCTCTATTTATTATTATAAAAGCAACTAAAATGTAAACGTAGGAATCTCTTTAGGTTAGATTGGGTAAAATAAATAATAATAAAATATAGTCAAAAATTTCACAAGGCATGCATGCAATCAGCTTAGAGTAGTAGCTCATGTGTATGGTAATTTGACAACATAACATGAGTCTCACATACTCCAAGTGATTTACAACTTGTAACAGCATGAATAGTAGTTAGGGCAATAAAAGAATGAAACTTAAGAATAAATAGTTGTATTTTGTTATGATTTTAAAGCTATTTAGGATAAACAAATACAGTTTCATGTTGTCATTCTAGAAAGAGAAAAGGGGTAATTTTGATTTTTTTTGGTGGTTACTAGTTACAGCAGAGAAAATATCAGATAAAATATAGAGTTTTACTGAAACTAACGTCGGAAGTGACACAGTCATAAAAGAGTGAAGAGTATACGTGGATCAGATGTGGTGTGGTCTCCCACTGTGGTGTGATATTTTCTTTTTTGGTTCCACGCCTCATGGTCTCTCTTTGGGTGCTTCCTGAAGGGGGATCATTGTTTCACTGGCCCTCCACCAGTTCAGTGTGGGATTTTAGATATTTTGTGAGAAAAGGTAAGATATTGTATCGGAAGTTAACATTTTCCTAAACTGCAAATGTATTTCCAATGGATACTTAAATCCGCTCACATTTCCCACCTAGCCACCCCACTTCCGGTGATGTGGTGTAGGTCTTCTAACCAATCTGAAAGTGATTAATGAGTGCAACTGTTGAGAGGGTGCTGGTTACTATAGGGGTTGTGTCGTGCTCCTATTGGTGGAGAGCTGCTGCATAATCATTTACATGTGGATATGCAGAAGCAGGAGGTGGAAGGCTAGTGATGAGAGTTGAAAATTTGTGTTGATAGAGGACAGTACTAATCTCTCCTGCCATATTTATGACATCATTTGAAACACTTAATGGTTACGTCGGTTTAAGACTCAGCCTTTGTCAGTAAATAGTATCCAAGTTTATGCACTTTTGTTCCCTGACAGTGTGCTACAACCTACTATTTCATTTTATTTCAGTTGCTATAGTGTCGTGCCATTCTTCTGCTTTCATTTGCATCTAAGGACTGTATATTTTATGACTTTTAGTTCATTCTTTTTTCATACCTCATCTGTTAGTATTGTTTTCTGATTACCAACTTCTATGATTCTGTTTAACCAATTCTGCTTCACCATCTTGGCTAAGATTATGCATTTACTTTCTGATTTGCACTTCTGTTGTATTTTCCAATAGGATTAATTCAGTTATATGGCACACGAGATTGGAAATTTTGAAATTCATCATATCCCATTAGGGCTAGACAAACATTCTTCTAAAGATGAATTTTTTTAATGGTATATTAGAATAATGTTCTAGGTGCAGTGTTTGTTCATAAAAATGTTGTAGATCATTCCCTTTTGAATGTTGTAACTTACATACTAGTGAAAATAAATCAAAACTATGTTTTCTTCCAGAAACCAAAGTTATAACCTAGGAATAAAGCTTTTGATAAGATTTTTCACTTAAGTAGGAATCCCAACATTTTAATTTTTCAGTTGTCTGGATTGTATACTAATGTATAGGGGTATGAGTCAGTTTGATTTAATGCTTTTAACAGTTGAGAAATTAGCAGTTGTGATGTTTTGTTTACTGTATTAACAGAAGTTTTGTTTTGTTACTTGTACTACCACAGTACATGTAAATATCTGTTCTAAAGACCAGGAACTGTTTCACACAATTTCATAAATATATAACTTTACCAAAACAGAATTAAGAAACTTTCTTTAAAATATTCAAAAGTTGAAATGAATAGTCCTACATTTATCTAACATAGTGGAACTGTTTTTTATACATTTTTGTTCAATTGTTTCGACTATAAAATTATCTTATCAGCATGTTTCCTGTCTCACAAAGAAAATTATTAAAATAAAAAATATCTGTTCACTTTTATATAATATTAAATCAGTTTTGTTTTTTATGTGTACATAAAGAATGACTTGTAATTTTTTAAAGCATCAAATGATAACAGTGTATGACTATGCTCCCTGGAAAATAGATAATTAAATTACTAAGTTAGTACTAACCTTACTTTTTTTTTACCTAAATTTATTTGATGTACTTTATCTTGATGCCAAGTATATAAAATAACTAGGCCCTAAATTAACTGTTGAATTAATTGAATATGGATTAAAAGATTATTAAAATTTATTTTGTTTTCTGAATACAATAGAGATATATGGTATGGATTTTCATTTGTATGTCCAGCATGTCCTACAAAATATTTGCTATAAATGTTAGTGTTCATTGTTACATATTCTTTTTTATAAGTGGCTTTGACCACAATCATCGATCCATCTCTTGCACTTTTCATTAGGGCTTTTGGGTTTTGGAAAATGTATGAAAACACATTTTTCATGAGATCTTTATAAAAGAATGCAAGTTGCTATTGCATTACTAATAACTGCAATGCTTCCACATATGTTGTTTGTTTAACTTACTATCATGTGCAGCTCAATCCGTGTGATTTACAACAAATTTTAGGAGAAGTTCTAACTGGTTCATCATAAATCATTCAGTCAGGTTGTGGTGTATTTGGCAATCTCTATGTGGAGCATTACAGTATCAATGAGTAAGTTTCCTTCTCATTTCCTTGGTTCGTATTGACCTTTGTTTTCTGTTGGTTGTTTGCTTCATTGTTTACATCTATTATGAGTTTATTGAAAGATGGATTTAACACATGCATATTTATTACAAAGCAGTTTCTAGCAACAGGCACTCCATAAGGTCATGATATATTCATATGATGCTTTATTCTTTGCATATTTGGTGTTTTTACTTTATGTACAAGTAATAAGAAAATTTAGCAAAAATTAAGTATGATATAGTAATGGCAATGCCAAAAAGTACAGAAACAAGGTAGGGATGAATACACAAAACCATACAAAAATCAGTACATAAGCAAACATTGTGTATTGTTTCATATATATGTCAAAGGTAATAGCTTTCTCTTCACATTGATAAAAGTTACTAAATTTATCCTTTTTTATTTTAAAAATATTGTTACTCAATTGTTTACTGTTTAAAACTTTTGAGAAACTGTAAGGGCAAACATTATTTTTGTAATTTTTCAACACATTAAATAATTTTTAAAAATATACACATTTGTAAATTAGGAGAAGCCTAGAAAGAGAGGAATTGAGGATATTATAATTGAAGGACATTAAAATCAACTATAGTAGATACAAATATATTTGTAGTCTTTAATGAAACTTGCAAATGCTTTTTATAATGAATTGGGACTACTTATGAAAAGTGATTTATTTTGACACGTATATAGAAGTTAGTTAGTTAAGGAATTACATAAGTAATTATTGGGATATTAAAAGAATAACTTGAAGTAAATTATAAAAAATGTTTATGACCAGACGATGTTTTCAGGAACTGAAAGTGATCAAGATTTCGATCCCACTGCTGAAATGCTTGTGGATGACTTTGACGACGAGAAGACTATGGATGAACAAGAACTTCTAGAAGAAGAAGAAGGAGTAGCTGGAGAATTAGATGATCTTCAGAAGGCAAGCTAAATTGGCTAACATTTTTTAAAACTTAACATTTTGTAGTGGTAAGTGTGTAATTCTAATGTCTCTGAACAGTGATATAAGATCATATAAAAAGTTTAGTGCCATAAATTTTTACAACTATGTTTCTGTCAGTAATAGCTGGTTGTAGTTTCTCTTATTTGTATTCAATATAGATAGCAGAGTATCTAATGATGGAAAAACACTTACATGAAATATATCACTTTCAATGAGGCTTTATCAACATTGTTTGCTTTGGCCTGATGGAGAATTAATTATTCATCTTGATATCGTGTGCCCACAAACTAACCTTTGAACTCTGACAAGCGAGTCAAAATAAGAATGAGGTCAAGGTATGTAATGATTTCAGCACTAAGAGAGCCAAGACATCCATCTACTTATGAGGTAGTGTACTGTTAGTGTGTTAACAAATGTATGCCAATGAAAATACTGGGATACAGGTTGTTAACTTATTATTTTTAAACTTTTATTCCAAGTATTCAGTGAAATTATTTCTATAATTTTGTCTTTGATTTAAAAATAGACAAAAGACTCTCTGAAATGCCATTTTTATATGAGGTATAATATTTTAAATATTACTGATTAAATGTCAAAAGCTAATAAAGTATTGGAAACCACCAGGCCTAAAATTATGGATGTTTCCCGTAGTTCACTGACTTTCAGTGTTAAATTATTCTAATCTTTTATGACTGAACAAGTTTCATTCATTGTTACTACTTATGTGCATTTTGTTTGTGGCTGATGGCATTTAACACTAGTAAGTTATTTATGATTTAGAATTTTTAGCATTGGATGAAAAAATCCCAGGTATTGTACAGTCCTGGCATTAGGATTTTTTTTCATATTGACATCAGATGCTGGCCATTGGCTTGTTTCTGTCCAGTCATTTTGGATAGGGCCTTTCTTAAAACAGTTACTTTATTTCTGTGACCATACTAAGCCATTGTTACCATTCCGATCTGTGGCTTTAAAAATCATGTTTCATAGGTTACAGATGCAACTCTAATTTAGTAAAAGTATTTAGTTAAAGTATGCAGACATATCCTCTTTGGTTTGGAAAAGCTATAATTTTTCTTCTAACTTCTAAGCCTACTTCAGGTCTTAAAGAAATAAAAGGTACATAAAGTAAAAATTCTTAAATATTTACATTGAAAACAAAACATCGCTTTTTGTTGATGACTCAAACAATAACCATTTGCTAAACAGTTTTTGCTTGTTAACATTATACTGTTAATCACCGTCTGATTGTTAGATGTTTGAGTTTTGCTTTCCTGTACACAGACTTTGGTAACAATAAAAAAACATTGCCGTGTTCTATCTTTTCTTCAGTTGAAATAAAATTCTCTTCTGAATAATTTTTCTATTGTAAAAGGTAATTGATAATCTCTAATTCAAAGATATAAAAACTTTAGTGAAATTTTATTATAATGGTAATTGATTGGAAATTACTTTTCCAATTTCAAATTGTGTGTGGACATGGCTGGACATTCTAAGTTCAGTCTGTTAATGTCAATTGAGTAACTACTATTTCCAGACCTGTAATCAGTACTTACAGAATTTTCAGTGCAGTAATTAAAAAAAACAGTGAAGAGGGCTTATAGCTGTACATAAAGCTGTTACAGTATTTAGTGGTACATTATTCCACATTTTGATCTTTCAACATCATTATTGCTTCCATTATTTAGGGTTGAACAGGTTAAGTTTGTGGGCACAATATTTATGGCTTTCTCCTCTCCTTCATCTTTGCTTGAATGTTAGAAGTGAACAGTAGGGATTGTTTTGAAAATGCTTGCAAAGAATTTAAAATAGTTTCTGTTTTCTTTAAAGAAAGCTCACAGAATTGTGATTCATAAGAAAGTTAATTTGTAGTGAAACCAATTTTTTAAGTGGTATAAAGTTGATGTTAAATTCACATGCTGCACTTGTGTTATCATTCTTTAAAACTTGATGTCACATGTTCATTGATACATGTTACATTGACTTCAGTTTAGAGAACACAATAATATTTACTTCTTTTCATGGGAATTTTAGTTTTTTGTGTTTTTTTTTTTTCCAAATATATGGCTTATTGTTTATATATGATAAAAATTAATGTTTAATTTGAATGTGTTACACTAACGAAATAGTTGGCTTTGTTAATTAATTTAATATTTTAGATGCAGTGTAGTTTTTGGCATGAATTGCTTTTAATATAGTTCTGTTTTTTGTTTTTTTTTTTCTTTAAATCATATATTACAAAAATTAGGGGTGTAGTAACCATTTCCATACATGCAAATTTTTACATTTTGTTCACCTTTTTATGATGAGCTATACATTTCTTGTGACTTATAAAGATATCACAGTTAGCCTCCACCGTGATTGAATCTCGATCAATATTCTGCCATCAAAGCCTTTTAGGATTGTATTAATTGTCCTAACCTATTTGTTATTCATTTTCAATTGAAAGTAAAGAACCACAGATGTTGATGAACTTACTATTTTTGTGTTTATTATCATAACTAGGAGTTTTTTGCTGCTGTTCTGCATTGAGGAACAAAGTAGGGTGCTGTTTTGGTACAGTTTGTAGCAATAAAACAAGTGACATCAATGTTGAGATTCCAAGTGTAGCTGAAACTCAGAGCTACATGTTGAAACCCAATCATGTTTCTGAAATCTTAGTCAAAATCTCAATCATGATTGAAGTTTGCAGCTTAAAAAGAGTAGCATTGTTGATAAAATAATGTTTTTTGTATATATAGCAGATATGCACAGAGAATTTTCAAGCAATCAGTAAGGGTGCTACAATAGCAGGAAGTCATATCAGAGGACATGTATTTGATAAATAAGGATATACTTTTGTGTGTGTATAGCTATTAGAACATGCTTAAAAACTTTGTGATTAATACCATGGTGTTAGTAGACCTATCTGCAGAAATTTTTAATGTAAACAATTAGTAAGCAAACAAAAAAGATATAACCAATACTTTATGTTTTTAGAATTATACATATTCATCCTTTCCCTAACTTTTCTCACATTTCAGATGATTTTGTTTACAGATATTAATAGTACAATGTAGCTTGAAGATCAACTCTTTGTACTTTTGTTTTAATGTTGTAGTTTAACTGTAATGTATTTTCTGGAGGTTTGCAAACTTTTTTGCATAATGTATTTGAAGTCAGAAAACAAAATTCCCAATCAGGTCTCATTGTTTTATATGAAACGCCCAAATTTTCTAGATTCGACTAGAATTGTTTACGTATTAGATAATAAATATTGTTTTTTCCTTATTTGACACTAAAATTAAGGCTCACTAAGTATCATGATTGCTACTGATTCCAAATGGATAGGAGGGAACTATGCCTTTAGAAGAGCTGCTTGCCATGTATGGTTGCTGTAACCAGCAGAATGTAGGAAGTCTTCAGCATGTTTCTGTGGACTTACCTGAAGAACGTTTCAATAAAGATATCTCTAAAGAAGCTGAATGGGATGAAGTGGACGATGGTAGTCGGGACAATGACGTTTTCGAAGGAGGAGAACACACTAACTCTACACACTTACTTCGATGTATGGACAGTTTGTATGTTTAATGTATGGAATGTTGTGTTTTTAATGTATAAGGAGTGTTTAGGATTTCTGCTCTATGTTATATTGTATACTAAACTAAAGTATTTTTTTGTGTGTTTATTCAAATAAAACAATAATTTTGCTTCTGTGAATTTTTTACAGATAATGGTGAAATTAGGTGGAATATACTGTTTATTTAATGCTTGGTAATATTTGAAAGTAAAAAATTATATTAATGTTTAAAACAAATAATGGTTTCTTTTACTAGTAAATTTTTTTAAAATGATATTTGTTTAGTGATAAATGATTGTGTTATTTGTTAATGATTTTTAGCTGTATCTCATGCAAGTATGACCTCTGAGTCTGATTCTGGTGATGATTACTCAGTTGGGGATGACTGGAGAAAAGTAAGTTTCTGTTCATGTTTGTTTATTTTACTCTCTGATTTATTGTATGTAATAACATTAATGTTAATGACTGTAACTTGACTTTCAGTTAAAAGTCCATATCATAAGTCACTGATATTATTAATGACAAGTAAAATAGATACTTGTGAAACTTTCCATTTTACTCACTGTCTTAAAACAGTTAAGACAGTATCAAACTTTTACAGTTTGCCATGAAAAGTTTTGTGACAGTTTTACCATTAGTATGAATAAAGATTTATCTGGTCAAGCCAATCATTTGTTCTAATATTACATTTGACTATCTTGTAGTCATTTTTTGGAAGAGTTAATGTTATTTCAGTATTGTATGCATACATATGTGGACGTTTTTGCACGTAGCAGGATTTAGCTGTTCCATTTCAGCAGGGGCTAAAGGTTGGTTTTGTTAACATCATAGTTCAGCATATTCTTGGTAGTTTCCACAACCTGATGTGAGATACTATTTATGTATATAAAAATCCCAATTCTGACCAATCACAAAATTAGAAGAAAATAACAATTCCTCAGCATGATGTTATCCGTTGTTCAGCGTGTAATTAAAGGTGGGGAAAGACAAATAGTATGAAAAAGTGTTATCCAATCATCTTTCAGTATTTGTTGGATGTCACTCCCTGAATGTAAGTTAAGGGGAAAAAAGTGACAAGTGGAATTTTTTTGGCTCTGAACTGAAGAAACTAGCCTGGTATGACTGTATTAATGAGTATGTATGGGCAAGATTTTTTAGTAAAATGTAATGATCTTGTTGTAAACTGTACCTTTTAAAAGCTTCAATAAGCATTTTGGGTCCTTTTTATAATTGTTACATTTTCTTAATGAAACTTGTATGACATTAGTTTAAAATGTGCTTAGAGATTAACTTAGCAAAGTTTCTACATTTAATATTTCCATATTTTATTTGACTGTGTATAGACCATCCAGGTAGGGTCAGATTTCCAGGCTGTTGTACCAGAAGGTCTTTGTAAATATGATGATGCACCAGGTATGTAAAACATTTTAACAACAAAGACAAGATTCAAATATATCCAGTACAGTTCTGCTTATTTGTCATATTTGCAGTCATCTTTAACTGATAGGTTGAGAAAATGTTCTGTTATTAAAAAAAGATGTCTGAATGCAATTTGTAAAAAATACAAGTTTTCTAATGTTATAAGTTAATGTGTGTATATCTATGAGATTAATAATTTGGACAATTACAATTATTTATCCTAAATGCATTAGGCCTCTTAACCTTTTCACAACTGCTTTCATTTAATTTTATTGATATTTGAACTGTATCTAACTAGCACAACAAATATTTTCCTTTTGAAATACAGAAAATATACATAATATTAAAATTTGAATATAAAATACATTTTAATATCCAGTTTATTGTCATAAATTGATAATAAAGCTGTTTAATTCAATTTTGAATGTACCCCTGTAAAAAGGACATGAAATGCACACTTTTAACTTCCCCCACCCACTCTGTTGTACACATAAGGTTAAGCTTCCATATTTACCTTCTTTCATGTATCATATCTTATGTTTTTAATTGATTTCATAATCAGTTATAATTTCAGAGTAATGGGTAAAATGGTGGGAATATTAGTGTTGTATGTTTTATTTCATTTGCTGTTTAAATTATTTCAAAATTGAAGATTCTGAGATGATGCCTCACCTCCACGTGTCTTCCTAAGAGATATGCATGACACTAGCCTTGAGATAACTCTCACCTAAGTTCACGTGTTTAACGTGAACTGCACTAGTGCACTTGGGTGAGAATTAGTTAAAGGTTAGTAGCATGCAAGTCTCTTCGGAAGATACATGGGGATTACAGTAATTATATGTGAGGGGAGGAGAGTACCTACTGGAAATACATTTTCAGGAAAATGTTAACTTTTGGCCTATTTAAATATTTACTTTACATCTGAGATTTTAATAAATATTCTTGTGAATAATGTATCTAATAAATTAGCTCATTTGATAATCTTAGGAGTTTTCTTTTCTCTGATGGCTATATGCTAATTTATGATCAGGGTTAGAAGTATCATCCGTTGAACTCTGTAAACAACAAATTACTTCTCTAGATCTATAGTGTATATATTTGCCATATATAGCTAAAATAAATTATTGAATTTGGTTATTTGGTATATATTCACCATAACTGTCTGAATCAATTAACTAATTAGTAAGCACAATGAAAAGAAACTGTTGGTTAGAAAACTAATTGTTTGACTTACAAAGTATTTTTAGGATAATCTTAGATGAATAGCAGAAGATGTTTTGACAGTATATATGACCAGAATAAGTAGTGTTGAAACAACAACAATTACATTTTATTGAATTAGTTGCTTAGTTTGTAGAATGGATTATGCATTGATCTTTTGTTTCTTTTTCATTTTCATTAGCTTTGAATTTTTATTTATTTTACAGCCTATGAAAATGAAGATAGACTTCTGTGGGATCCATCGAAGCTTTCAGACAAAGAAGGTATCCTTTCTCTGTCATTCTTAAGCTCATTGGGCATGATTTCTTTAACAAAAATGCATCCCTGTGATACTTGCATTAGTACCAGTTTTGACAACTGTAAGTGATTCTTGTAATAAAAGTAATGACATAAAATTTAAAAAACAAAATTACAAAAGGATCTGATATTTCTTAATTTGTGCTAGTAATAAAATGTACTGAAAGTAACAGAAAGAATTTACAGTTTAACACATTTAGTATATCAGTATATTAATGTAAAAAAGCTGTATGTCAGTTGTAGCTAAACTGTAAATACAATTTATATAAAGAAGCTGTATGTCAGTTGTAGCTATACTGTAAATATAATTTATGTACAGAAGCTGTATATCAGTTGTAGCTAAACTGTAAATATAATTTATGTACAGAAGCTGTAAGTCAGTTGTAGCTAAACTGTGTGAGTATAATTTATGTACAGAAGCTGTATGTCAGTTGTAGCTAAACTGTAAATATAATTTATGTACAGAAGCTGTATGTCAGTTGTAGCTATACTGTAAATATAATTTATGTACAGAAGCTGTATGTCAGTTGTGCTAAACTAAATATAATTTATGTAAAGAAGCTGTATGTCAGTTGTAGCTATACTGTAAATATAATTTATGTAAAGAAGCTGTATATCAGTTGTAGCTAAACTGTAAATACAATTTATATAAAGAAGCTGTATGTCAGTTGTGCTAAACTAAATATAATTTATGTAAAGAAGCTGTATATCAGTTGTAGCTAAACTGTAAATACAATTTATGTACAGAAGCTGTATGTCAGTTGTAGCTAAACTGTGTAAATATAATTTATGTACAGAAGCTGTATGTCAGTTGTAGCTAAACTGTTTAAATATAATTTATGTACAGAAGCTGTATGTCAGTTGTAGCTGAACTGTAAATATAATTTATGTACAGAAGATGTATGTCAGTTGTAGCTATACTGTAAATATAATTTATGTAAAGAAGCTGTATGTCAGTTGTAGCTAAACTGTGTAAATATAATTTATATAAAGAAGCTGTATGTCAGTTGTAGTTAAAATGTAAGTATAATTTATGTACAGAAGCTGTATATCAGTTGTAGCTAAACTGTAAATATAATTTATGTAAAGAAGCTGTGAACAAGAACATTTGTTATTGAAATTTGAATGAATGTAATTTTTTTAACCATGATTTTTTTAAGTGGAATTATACCTACAGCAAGCACAGAATTCTTACCCTGATTGTCAAGGTGTTCAGGCTATTCCTTTGGGGAGTCATATCCGTGATGATGAACAGGTATATTTAAGTCTTCGATGTATATTATTTTGTTGTTTTTGTTCTTAGTGGGTTTTGTTTCTTGTCCCTCTTTTGTTTTATCTCATATTATTGTTGAAAATGCTTATATAAACTTTAATGAATTTTTAATGTAAATTATTAACTCTTTCAGCATGGGCTTGGTCCCTGTG